TCTGACTGGGCCATTCTTTCCACGACCATTTCAGTTTGTTATTTACTAAGCATCCCATCATTCAACGCTACAAAACCTGAGCTACTGAAAGCGTCGTTAAATAAACAAATAAAAGGCCCCTGCCGCTAACATAGACGGCAAGTACTCTCGTGGGGAAACTTCGTGCCTCTGCACTGGGAGAGAGCTGAGGGCGCTGTAGCTGCAGTACAGCCCTGTTATCTCTGGTGACAGTTTGAGGGCGACAAGAGCGCTCTCTCATCCGTGTCGAGTCCGGGAATCTCCCTTTTAATGTACAGAAAAGCGACATTTGAGACTGGCTTTCAAAACGACAGGTTGCATAACAGGAGGGAGAAGACGGGGTTTAGAGTATTTGCCAGGTTCGTACAGTGGATGTTTCTTTTGATGAGCACAATGCAAAGATACTGAATAAATCATTCTTGTATGTGGTGAAATTCAAATACCGCGAATTACATATAAAATTAAAATTATATTCGTGATAAAATTAATAGAATATTGTCACGTTTATTAGTGACTATAGACGGGGTTTGGATTGATGAAAAGATTTATTGACCACTTACAGGTCGTAACAACAACTAACTATAACAACTATCGTTATTTCCACACTACAGATTACTCCACACAAAGTCTTCTCAGTCTGCTCTCACTAGTCGTTACCTGGTAACAGCTCTTAACAGCTGCTATTCTTCTGGAGTGTTTTCACTAGACGTTTCCTTGTAACGAATCTTAGCAATGGAGATTCTTCAGCTTCCGTTGTCCGCTGGTTAACACTCCACAGCTGAACCCTCAACTCATCTCAACTCAACTGCTTGTGCTCCGTTTTACTCCGTTGTACTCCTTGTACTCCTTTCGTACTCTTCTACTTCTTCTCAATGTGCCCTCTTATAATTCTTCGGCACGGACCCCACGGAATATAATCTGTTGTGAAGAATTCACTTTTATTTATCTGTTACCTGGTAATGGCAGTCCTTTTATTGTTGACAGCGTAACTTCGGGAATGTGTTTACCGAGCCATTGCCTAGCAATGAGCATCATCATCATCATCGTCAATAATCTGTCAGAAGACAGGTCCACCGTCTCTTCCAAAACACTTCCTCCACTTAATGCGATCTAGAGCTTTCTCCTTCAAATGACAGTATCCTCTTCTGTCCCCAAGGTCATCCAGCATCTTCTTACGTCTTCTTCCTCGTCTTCTTGTCACTTCTATCCGCCCCTCTATCTTTCCTTCAATAACTTCTTTTAGAAGGCAGTTTCTGCGTAAAACGTGACCAATTATTTATCTGTTACCTGGCAATGGCCGTCCTTTTATTGTTGACAGCGTAACTTCGGGAATGTGTTTACCGAGCCATTGCCTAGCAATGAGCATATACGTCACAATATTTAATTCTGAATATGTTTGCTAATATTGAAGCCCAAGAGCTCGGTTAGCTCAGTCTGTATAGGAGACCTAAATAGGCTACGGGCTGGACTCATGGAGCCCTGTCCACGTGAGGATAGGAATTTGTTTCTTCGTCACCGCGTCCAGACCGGATGTGGGGTCCGCTCACGCCGTTATACCCTTGCAAAGTCGAGCCTCTTTGTCCACATGCAAAGCAGTCGGAGCATGAACCTCCATTTTATGTCGGTATTAAGAATGCCTGGATGTGTACCTCCGCTCTCCTTTAAATCCTTACGAAGTGATGCTGAATTTAGCACAGGGATGACATAGATTTTTGTAAAAAAAATTGTTGAATTTGAAGTTTATGTGGTATTCTCTTTAAATGCTTTCATGATTAGGGATCACAGATAATATTTGAACAATTTTTCTGTGTATTGAGTACTGATCTAAGAGCATTATAATAAATGTTCTCGCCTGCGCAGTGTGATCGCTGCAGAGTTACGTTTGCTGCAACAGATGCGTCTGTTGTAAGTGGCGAGCGGGGCCAATGAAGTAGGGAAGCAGCACGTGCCAACTCCTTGATGCTTTAAATTAACATCAGGATTCATCCTTCAGTTCTCATTAACCCCGAAGCAGCTGCTCACACATGAAGCGTGAAGCTACAGTGTCTGTCGCCTTAACAAGGTCTGTGACTTGCTTTGACTCAGGGGCGCTTTGCCGCTCCATAGCGTCTGACGTAACGCTCACATAAGTCACGTGTTCCGGCGAACCGCGATAATTTAAATGTAAACTGGTGAATTTTAACCGTTTCCATGCTGTAATCGATATATCTCGCTTTTAACATCGGAAGGTTCTTTCCTTAGCTTGTTAGGCGTTTGTTTAAGATAAATTAAGAAAAAATAAAATACATTAGGATTTTATCGTCTCGAAGGAACTGCAGAAGAAACATGGCGGATTCCCCGGGCTGTAGTTGCCCGCCCGTGGGCTCTCTCGCTGCTGCATATGCACCTCCGGCCTGTCTCGCGTTCCTCCTGTATTGATTCTCACTTTCCCACGAGTTTAAACGGGGAAGCACCGTAGCCCGAGACCCGGTGCACTCCCGTCGACTTCCTGTTCCGTCTCCCCTCACCTGACACAGCAGCTCGTGCGGGTGTTTCGTCTACCCCGTGTCCGTGTCGCAGTGTTTTGTTTCGCCGCTGTCAGCACTCAGACAATATGGCGTCGGGTGAATGATGAATTGGAAAATACTTGAAAATAAGTGGTTGTGGCCTAATCGAGGTTCTGCCCCAGCATCTGCTTGAAGAGACTGAGGTAACACACGAAATATCTCAGGAGAGCCTGTGTCCCGGACGAGATTCGAACTCAGCACTTCCCCTTACTGCGTTATCACTGCAGCACTACACTATCACAGGGAAGACCGGGAAGCGCAGATGTTAGACCATGCACAGTGAAGCAAGAACTCGTGAAGGGTAAGCACGTAAATGAGTTGTAGCCTGGAAACCTGAGTCCTGGCTCGATGCAAGACTCTGCTCGCTGAACAAGCTGGCTCAGGACTTGTACTCGGCAGACGCCCAGATGGGACCCTGAGATTTCGTTTCGTAGTTCTCCTCAGTTGGTATGAAGCATCAGCCTAAGTCTTGGCTGTTTCCTTTCGCGGTGAGAACCTCAACTCCAGGATCCACCGCAATGTCGTCGCAGGCTAACAGATGGTTTATTCCCCGCCAGAAATCCGAGAAATAAGCAGAGGAAACGGGCCTCAAGGACAGTCCACGCGACGACCTCAGTAAACACTGCTGTCACGGGAACCTGAAGCTGTTCGCCTTCTGTGCCATGCTCTGCCCACACCTGTGCTTGCATATGGATTATCAGTTTCAGGAAGTCTGATTAATTGTCCTTAATAAGGGAAAGTTTAGGGGGTGGGACATCTCAATCGGTGTAGCGACTAGCTATGAGCTCAACGACCGAGAGACTGGAGTTCGAGTTCCGGTAAGGTCAAGAATTTTCTCTTTTCCACGTCATCCAGAGTGGCTTTGGGGTCCACGCAACCTATCCAATGGGTACCGGGGATTTTCCTCCGGGGGAAAAGCGACCGGGGTGTGAAGCTGACCCCTCACCTCCATCTAGTGCTGAGGTGAAGAAAATGTGGATATATATATATATCCATGCTCCCATACGCCTTCGCCCCGTAGTGATCAGTGCACAGGGACAACTTTACCTATATCTTGTCTTTAGGGGACTGTATGTTACATAGGAATGGAAGTGAGTGCAGGTCGGTTTAGCAATGCTGAAGGAACTTCGGGTAAGTCATGGCACAAGATGTGACGACACTTCCTGTTTCTGCTAGTCAGTGCTTCACTTCGAGCCTGTGTTGACTTCATACTCATCCTTCGAACAGTGCAGCCGTGTTTAAGGGAAGGCTGTGAGGCCGGAAGGGACACCAGCATATGTATATGTCTGTATATGAAACAGTATTGTTGGAACAACGTAACAGAACCAATTGGAAACGAGGAAATGTTTTTGGAGCGATTTAATCCCTTAATTGGGTTCATTCTACCATCGATTTATTCCTTCTCTTGCATTTATTGAGTCCAAATAGTAACGTAAACATAATTTTTGAAATGACATTTTAATAATTGGATTCTGTTTACTTCACGTGAAGATATGAAAGCTGGTAAGTGTTTGAGCAGTAGCGCTCCGAAATTGTGTGACTTCACATCGTGTCGAGGTGCTGCGACTTTCAAAATCTGTAGAAGGGTGACTCTGGATCCCTGAAACGCCCCAGACAGTTCTGCAGGAAATGTGCACCAAAGTTTCACAGAATATGAGAATCAAAGAAGTTGTTATCACTTCATGTTACATGCTATTCCTTGCTTAGAGGCATGTGAGTGATGTATGAGGAGCGTATAAATTCGAACTTAGTGAACGGGTTGTTAGCGTGTCGACGTACGGCACGTTCAGCATACGGCCTCTGCAAATGTACTGCATCATAGTGTCACCTAATGCTGCAGTCGTTGTTTCAAAATGATTAGGCACCTTGTGTGTGCGTACAAGCGTCTGAATGGATGGACACTGTTCTCTGGGAGATCTAGGGTGCACGCACGCACCGGGGGAAACACTGCTTTCGGTGTTTTGAGCTCACACACACAATTGGTGGCTCTGCATTTCTGTTATCGCTACTGGATGAGTGAATATAAGACTCACAGTTAAATGACTAGCTGTGTACTAATTCAATATTTGCATCACAAGGTTCCGAACCCATGTACTACCTTCAAGTCAAACATTTATTGAAACTGAAATTGTGGAAATATTCGTTAATACGAAACATCAAGTTGATTGCAGAGTAATATTTTCTTGCATCATCCTATTTACTGTACGAGCCTTAAGCTGCTTGTAATTAAGTGCATCTTTAACGAATTCTTCTGTTTCGTCTACTTGTCGAAATATATTTCAGTAAAGGAACATGCGATTAATGAAATTTAGGGACATGTAATTAAAGGACACATTTGACAGCGCTCGAAGTAATGCAGGTAGATACGTACTAGTTCTTCAAAATATCAGAATGAAACCTGACAGGCGGTGTTAAGTGTGCGGTCTTCGTCCTAACATGGCTGCCTTACGAATGATTGTTGTATTCACATTTGCTTTGCACGCATGTCAAGTGGTCCTGTCTGATATTAAGGACTTAGAGTTTCAGACGTTCTTGAACTGTTTTATCAAAATCTGCACACAATACTTCAGCGAAGAGCTTGTGATCTCTCTTCCGCCCTATCGTGCACAGAACTTGAGGTTCTCAGGTGAAGGCCGCAACAGATCCCTCATACAGGAGGCACGGAACTTGGGATGGATCCTCTTTCAAGAACTTGTGACTTCCGGTCAGTGGTCTCTGTTGGTGTATAGAGGTCGTGATGAAGGCAGCTTCAAGACACAAGTCGGGGAAATGTATCACAGACCATCGAGTTACATCATATATTTGCAGAACAATGTTACCGGTGATCTGAGCGACATACTTCGCCGCTTGAAAACGTTTTACTTTCGAAATCTAAGATCCAGATTTCTTGTGATTTTGGACGAGAAATTCAAGGAGCCAGAGACGAAGGTATCAGAGGTTTTGGCGAAATTGTGGCAGTTCAAGATTGTTAATGTTGCCGTGTTATTGAAGCTAAGGGCACGAGACATTCTGCAGATCGGTGTAATACCAAAAGGCTTGGAACAACTGCAAGTGAGGCGATCTGACAGTGCAGTTGGTGTTTACACTTGGTTCCCTTACAGAGACAGCAGCAACTGTTACAATACAAGAGAGGTCCATCTTCTGGACTTGTGGGTCATGGAAGGGAGCGGCCACTTTGCCCTAAACAAGTGTCTGTTTCCAAACAAAATTAAGAACAGTCTGAACAATTGCCCTGTTGTAGTCTCGACAACACAACGTCATCCATTCGTAGAAGGTCCAGATTACATAAACACGGACGATTCCTTCGAGACAGTGTACAGCAGAGGATGGGACATCAACCTCCTGAATATCGTGAAGGACGCAATGAACATGTCACTGCGTTTTCTGCCGCCGTCTGTAGAGGCACTTGGGAGATTGTTGGACAACGGGACCTACTTAGGTGTAATTGGTGACCTGACGTACAATAAAGCTGACATCGCCTTATCGGGTTTGCCTCTGATTGCACCGTTTACCGATAGAGGGGACCACACTGCGGTGTATTCCAGATCTGAATTCATTTGGTTGGTTCCTTGCGCAAGACGTCTGCTCGGCTGGAGTAATGTTTTCCGAATTTTCTCTTATTCCGTGTGGTTGTGTGTCTTCTTATCCTTGATCCTTGCTGCTGGCGTGATGCGTTTTCTGGCTAAGGGGACTCAAGGCGTTGCAAGATGCAGCGATCTGTCCGCGTCGTCATGCAACATACTGGCTATGTCCCTAGGATCCGGAGTGTCCTCTGTACCTCGATCCTCATCTGTAAGGATATTCTTTCTTGCCTGGATATGTCACTGCATGGCCGTGAACACTGTTATCCAGTCATACTTCACTGCCTTCCTCGTGAAGTCGGACCTAGAGAAACAGGTGTCAAGTGTGGACGAGATTTTCAGTTCTGGGATGGACTACGGTTTTATACCACAGTTCGATATATTTTTCAACATAAACGGAACAACTCTTGACAAAACCATATTGCATGACAGAAAAGACTGTACCCGTGTCTGGTCCTGTCTCCGTAGATTGGCATATGACAGAGATTTCGCTGTGCTGTTTAGCGAGGTTAGTTATGAAACTGACGTGAAATATAGGTTCCTACATAAACTGAGCTCTACACCCCTGGTTTGCAGATTACCGGAAACATTTCTGAGTTTCTATTATTCTCTGTATACCCCGAAGGGGCACCATCTTCTTGAGCGGATGAACGCTGTCCTCAGCAGAATATTTCAAGCTGGATTGTACAGTGAACTTCAGGAGCTCGACGCTCACGTGTTGAAGGTAGCGGTACAAGTCGGTGGCAGAGAAGGACCTGATGATGAGTACCGCCCGTTCAGTCTGAAGCATATGAGAGTGGCCTTCTTCATCCTGCTTGCCGGGCATGCAGTGAACTTGCTGGTACTGCTGCTCGAGACGTTGTTCTGGAGTTCCACACGTGTACGTTAATGGTTAATGCTTCATATTGTCACGTGTTCGAGTGACTATAGACGGGGTTTGGACTGATAACTGGATTTATTGCACACTTACAGAACGTAGCTATGAATAACTGCGACAGTCTCGCTGAGTTACACGCTCCAAAGAACGCTGTAACTAAGCACACATAAAGTCTTCTCAGTCTTCACTATCCGTTGCTTGGTAGCGGCTTCCAAACGCGAACGTTCCCCTTTCCTCTGCGTTCCCGAAGTGTTCCCTGCCTCAGCTAAGAGCTTCTCATTTTTCACAACTGCAAGTCGCAACTGACTCAACCACATCTGAACTACTAATCTTCGTTATATAGCTCTGGCACGGACCACACAGAAAGCGTCTCTTCCATTATTACGTTTTCTCTCGTTGCCGGAGGAAATACGTGTCCAGAGAGCTGTTCCCTACCAACGGCTGTTGCACTGTCGCCTGTCTACACAGCTGTTACTTGGCAATGGGTCTACATGTCACAATATTAATGTAGTGTGTTATGAGCAAGAGTTGTATATGAATTTAATGTGTTTAACGAAACATTATTACTGTGACAAATAGAATGTAAAGTATGTCCTAGGTTATGACACCCTGTAATCTGATAGACGCATGTCATCCGCCCCTCTGCTATACAAACTGCCGTTTCAGGATCCTAACTGACTCCTTCCATGAAGATACTATTTATGTTTCCCCGAACATCGACAGCCGGCTACCACACTACACGAGGTCATAACCAAAACAAGAACACTAAGCTTCAAACGGCCTCTTAAATATGTAACAATTAAATTGAATTATAAATTTACGTAATTTATGTTTATTTTATATTATGATATATTTGTGAACTGTGGCCACTCAGTGTAGTAGTGTTGAGCGGAATTAAGATTTTTTTTTGCTAGTGGGGTGGGACTAAGTCCCTTGTACTGCGGCCACTTCTGGCCTATTGCACTAGCCCCAAATTATAGGTGAGGGTGATTGTGGAGCCATTGGTGGAATGAAGATTGGCCCCAGCACCACTTTGTCCACCACAAATCCCACTTGACCAGACCCGGGATCGAACCCGGGCCGCCGCGGTGGGAAGCCAGCGGCTAACCACTTGAGCCATGGCGCGGCCTATTTGTGAATTACTTGACAGTAATACAGGGCACATTTGATACTTGTGTTACTTGTCGAGCATGGAATGTGTCACAGCGGTGTACGTGTGAGTTCTCTCTCCATGCCTTGTCATGCCAAAGTATCACAGTTTTAGTCGCCAGAAGGTCCTAACAGAACGCACAGAGCCTAGGAGTTTTCAGTCCTTTGGCGACGTAACATATTTAGAAGCAACCTTACTGTGCGGATGGAAAACACATATTCTTGTCTGAAATATACAGCTTTTACTAAAATTGCTACAAAGTCAAGGAAAAGTAGAATATGAAAACGAAACGTCTGCTGTCTCTCTTTGTGAAGAACCTGTAAGTTTGAGTCGTGTTTTCGTTAAAATTATGGCACATCATCTCGAACTTTTGAGCGTTAAGCGCAGCGTCTGGCTCATGGCCTTGGAGAAGGGTCTACTTTCCTCAGAGTATGGTGGGTATTCTGATCTCAAGTGACTTCATGGACAGATACACACTGACGACTTTAATCATTGAGATACTGCGCAAGCGCTTTTTAAATCATATATCTTTGCCACGTGCATCAAGAATGTATTTCTGTATATATTCAAAAACAATGCTTCTTCGTGAAATTATTCTTGTCCCTGCATTGTCTGTATTTCGTTGTGTTCTTTGTTGGAGTTGCCTTCTTGTCTCATTTTTAAAATTTCTCCCATCACGTTTATTATTTGCTACTCGCCACGAGGCGTTTCAGTGTCTTATCAGCACGGCTGAAATTACTTATGCATCACTATAGTGAAGGGAAGATGTTCTAAGAGTGCACCTACTTTCGGCAGTCTTCGCAGGTTCTGGGAGTAGCCGTTACACTGAATAAGTTAAAATGTTATAACTTCTTTCATGTCACGCTAAACGTTAGCTGTCAAAACACGAATATGTTAAAATGTACACTGTATTGGAATAAGTAACAGAAATATATATAAACGGGTACAAGTGTAAAGAAGCAATAATTTGTATAGGGGTGTATACCCCACTAGTCCCCACTACCTACCCTTTGGAGAGAGCCAGCCAATATATAAACGGTACAGTATATATTTATTTATTACGTCTTCTGTGCTTATAACAAATTCTGTCAGTCGTATTGACGTAAGTCGGTAGCTTGTGGATTATTTTGCTGCGTGATAAGCACAGGCAACCCTCGCTAATCTGGAGTGACTGTGGGGGGAGGTCAACCAGAGTAAATCATGATCCTGATTAGTGAAGCAAAAGGTAGACCTAAAAGAAAAAAAAAAGACTTAGAACACAAATAAATGGAAATTTTATGAAGAAGAAACCAGTGATCTTGGATATGGCACCGTGTATATATATATTGTGTTAACCGACGTTTCGGAGGAACGTATCGCCTCAATTTTATTGATATAGCCCCAAAATGCAAAAGAAAAGGAACTTAGAACACAAATAAATGGAAAATGTAATGATATAATTAGTGCTGATGAATATAAATAACAAAATATCACTGTAGAGCCTTTATATAAAAACTATAAAAAAGACAACACATTTGTTCATCGATAGAAGACTCATAAGCTGTACTTGATTCTGAACGTAACAATGCAGGTTTGAAGAAACTGTCAAGTTTTGTCTGAACAGAAAACTAACTTATCTGCCTGCCTAGATGCGTGTACTCAACTGTGAAGAGCATTTTCCTCATTTCAATTCGGGTTACCGGACATCCGAATTAACAGTAACCGTATTAGCGAGGGTTCACTGTATCTCAGATTTCATCACATAGAGGGATAAGATTATCCACACGTAATGAATTGGAAAAGATTCGGAAGAAAACAGCTGTGACCCTGTCCGCCTGTGCCTGGAGAGACTGAGGAAGCACACGGCAAAGTGTCACCCAGGATAGCAGGTGTCCCGGCCAAGATACGAACCCAGCACCTCTTGAATGCGAATGTGAAGTATTAACGCCGTGGCAGCCAGGCCGGTACTGAAGGAAGGGATATGATATTTTTGTAAGAAATCGGCACTCTCAAATCCAAGCGTGTGTCGGAGCGGTGGTGCTACAGTCAGTGACAGCTGGCTTCATTTCAAGCCCCCCCCCCCGCTGTGCTCAGAACAAGTTCCGCAAAGCTTGCTACAGACAGCGTCCCTTGCGGCTTAGCCATCAGTAAAACTAATTCAAAAAGAAATACAATATTAGAAAGAAAGAGTTAAATAACATGGCGAATCACAGAGAGCCCCTCTACTCCACGATAAATCATATATTTGCACTTTACGCTCAAGTAAACAAACAGTTCTTAATTTAATTGAATTTATAACGTTTTACATAATATCCGGACATAACGTCTGGTCTAGAAAACCAAAATTCAGCATCTGCACACCGCGTGTGGACTCTCGTTGAATATGAACTTTCTTACTCAAAAACTGGGATCCTTCACAGTACGCCCTAAACACAAAACTGCGATTTAATCGAAGACGGCGCCTCACAGTTTGATTACCTTTCAGCAAGTTGCGGCCATCAGCGCAAAGACTCAAAACCTCACATGTCGATTGTGTGCTGGAAGTGTGTCAGGCTTTTGCGTTTCTCAGCGCAGATGCGCCTCCGGCCATGTTTTAACAGCCTTGAAAGTGACAGCAAAGCGAGGCTTCGTTCAGTATTCGCCCGCTGACCTTCAGTAGGCGTGTGAGGTCAGAGATGACGCGAGGTCCAGCTTTGGGGTGGGGGAAACAATTCCTGTTAATATCCTGTCTTCTCGCCAGTAGACTGAGTCGTGCATCAGAAGCTGCAGGTTAGTGGCGTTGTCCTGTTAGTTTGATTCCAACTTTGCTACATAAGCAGAGGTGTGCCGCATCTCTGGCACAGTTTTGTGTGTTACACGGAGCCTGTGAGGTGAACCTGTTTCCTGTAATTGACGAGACTGAAACACTACAGTAAGTATACAGTTCTGCTTGTGGTTATGGTTTGAAATTATATAGAGCGCGGTCATCTTGTATGAAACGTCGTGTAGTTTGGCAGATATCTGCCGAAGTTGGGAGGGGTCTGCTGTCTCCATGTTGAGTCTTTCATCCCGAAGATGGAGGTATCAGGTTCTTCACTAAACGTAGGTAGCTATCCACCAAACTCCACGGCGTCACCTCCCTAAAGAGAGTGATAAATTTACTGGCCGTACGTACTGTACGTGATGCCTGTTGTCAGTAAACATCATTAAAACGTGTCACTTCTGATCCAGCCGTCATCATGCGTATGTTCGTCTTGTTGCTGGCAGTTCTCAGCGTCGCCGTTGCCGCATGTGTGGCGCTGCCTTACGTTGAAAGAGACGAGGAAACTGAATTATCTCAAGTAAGTCAAAGTTTAGTCATTTTAAATGGTGATTGTAGAACCGTGTTACTTAAACTGCGTTCTGATGTTAGTTTTGCTGTTTAATATCCATGGGAGAGTTGTCTGTGAACCTGAGACATTTGCTTGTTACGTTCAGTTACATATGTTGGCAGCGGCCTCACGTGAACCATGGAGACTTTAAGAGAGCCCACACAAGCAGTAGAACAACCCCTAAATTGCAGGCTATCCCGGCTCATATGCAGTGATAGGAGGCTTGAGAAATTACATAATGAGGAGCCTCATAATTTTCATTCGTCGACAAAAGTAGGGATATTGAAACGAAGACAGTTGCCATTGGCAGGCCATGTAGCACACAAAGTGAGTGAGGAAGGGAGAAGGGAAAATGACATGCAGAGTTTTGTAGGAGAACCTGGAAGAAAGAGACCACTAGGAAGACCTAGGCGGAGGAGGTTGGGTTTTATTTGAATGGGTGTTAAAGGAAATGTAGTTGAAAGTTGAGAACTGGTTTCGTCTGTGTTAGGGTATGGACCAGTGGTGGGCTCGTTGGGACCCCTTGTGTAGTTGAGCGACTGTCAGCTTCTGAAGGAGCGCACAGCTCCGGTAAGAGAAACTATATACCCATCTGCTATTTGCTCGAGGATGCGTCATCGGGATTTGTAACCTAAGTTTTGCTTCATCATTGTAAAGTTCTACCATACTTCCGGTAGTGTATGCCATCGGGAAGTTCACACACACACACACACACACACACACAAAAATTTGCGTCCGTAAGGGTGGCTACCCAAGGTAGGGTAGGTGGGTTTCGGTTAGTTGGATAATCAAGCCTGCGAATTCCGGAAACAGACGGAGGAAGTAGTTATGTGTTACTGGAGGGAAATGTTTCGAATTCCAGGAGCTTCCTGTAAGCAGTGATGCTCTGTGTTGGCTGATGTTTAATGTGGGCCAGTTGTGTGGATTGATACCAATGTTCTGTAACTCAGGCCATCCTGGAGAGAGTCCAGCGTTCTCCTCTGCCAGAGGAGAGGAAGAGTAGCTCTTCGGGAGATGGCACCAGAGCTCGTAGCCAGACTGGAGCCAGTCGTGCGACAAATGTTCGGGGCAACGCGACCCAAGCGGGGGGCGGACCACAGAGTGAGACACGAGAGCGCCAGGGTGGCGTCGCTTGGGACATCAAATGGTGAAGCAGCCTCACACAGCCCCTGCAGAAAGGCGTTTCTTGTTAAGCTGACATTGTCATATCTGGTCAAAAAATATTGTGCTTTACACACCCAGAAGATTCTGTCATTTTAATTGGAGGCTATTCTTACCGATGAATGTTTTTCATTAAACTAACAAAGACGACACAAGACACACTCAGAAAGTCCCAGAAGATATTAATTGCTTGTAGTGCTGTGTTGTACTGCCTTCCGCATAACGCTACACACACTTATTGGCTTGTTATTTACGCTGGTTTTAAGGCAAGTGTATTTTGTGATTGAGTCTACTGTAAAGGAGTCTTATTCAGTTCATGTGACTCTGTGTGTTACATTTGAGGGCCCCTGATGATGACCATATACCATATACCATATAACCGAAACATGTCTGTTTCCAAGATCATTCACTAATTAAACCAGGATAAATTGATGATATGTTTTTATCCCATTTAGTCCTCGTATTATGGTCCCTGTCCTGAAGCGGTTTTGTATAATTCACGCTTTCCCAGAACCATGCAGTGTTCTCCTGCTGAACAGGTTACTGTAGTGGTGACCCCTGACACTTGTTGTCCTCGTATTGCGAAGGTGCATAAATTTACACATGTTTCACCAGTCCGCCAGACGTCACCAGTTTAACACGAGTAAACAGAGGGTTTGCCTTTATGTGTTTCGCCACTGCTAGCCGTCATTAGAGGGCGTAGACATCGCTAGAAAGAAGTCCTCGACTTATGTTAACTGAACACGGTACTAAAATAAGAGCTTCTGGAAAGACCCAGGAAAGACGAACACAGTTTCACCGCGATTTGAAGACCCCTGGTTGTCCTGCTGTTTTGAGCTAAGTTTCTCGTGGGGTAGTCTTCCGTCCAGGCAAATTCCGGGATGGCGCCATATCTAGAACACTTCCCTCATGTCTGTCCCAATTCATTTATCCCCCCGTCCAGCCGCTGTCCGACACTGCGTAGGCTGTACTGCGGGCCGAAATGACGGGGAGTTGGGAGTGTATATATTGTGCTGTACTCTGCTGGCAAGAGTCACAAAGCTGTTAGTGGCAGTTGAATCGCCTGACCGGCGTGGGGCCGCTTGTTCCAACATTCTCCTGCTGAGCGAGCGACCCTTCACAGAGAACAAATTGCTCTGATGGGATTCGACGTCTTTCCTCCCACAAACGTGTTCCAGCTGGGAGCAATATATGTAGTGTAACCCCCCCCCCACATTCGTGATATTATGCTGCGTATTTATACCGATAATATTGTGGCACATCTGCTCAAATCTAGAATTGTGAAGCCAGTAGGGAACGGTTCTTTAATCCCCGTTGCTAGGCGATTGCTCAGTAGCTGTAACATGGTCGCCGCAACAGACACGTAAGCAACAATAGAAGAACTGCTGGAGCCGGTATCTCCTGTGCGGTTCGTGCCGTGGAAATTTCGGGGGTTCGTTCGTCAATGAATGCCGCTACTGAGCAACGGTTATTGAAGACTGATAAGACTTGATGTGTGTTGTAGTTCCAGCGGACTTTGCATTGAGAATGACGTAGTTATGTGCAGTTATTTTCTGTAAGTGTCCAGTAAATTCAGTTACGAGTCCAAATGCTGTCTATAGCCACTCCACCACGTGATAATGTTTTCATGGTAGGGGTGACTTTAAGACGGGGTTTGGATTGGATGATGGATTTATTGGACCTTATAGAGTCACAGAGTTTTGAACTAGAGGCAATCCAGTGTTATTGCTATTCTACACACTTTCCAGTTCACCGTTACACACAAAGTAGAATTCTTAGTCTTCACTAGTCGTATCCTGGCAACGGATGTATCACAGTCTCACTGTAACTTCATCTCACGTATGAAGTCTACTTCCACATTTTAATTCCTTTCTTGCAACTTGCGAAGACTCGACTCGACTACTCTCGGCTACTGATCTATACTGCTTGCTACTCTAGTTCTACCCCTGTCCTGCCGAACACTTCTTATAACGCCTTTGCCCGGACCCCAGGGTAAACTTCGTCTGTTGTCAACAGGTCCGTTACCTAAAATGGATGCCCTATATTGAGCGCTTTTGCTGCGGGAATATGCTTGTCGAGTTGTTGCCAAAAAATGTGTGTACACGTCACAATGTAATGAATTCTATCTTGTGGGATATTATACAATTTCGTATGTTGAAAGTTACGCAACGTTTCGGAAGAACACGTTGCCTTCGTCTTCAGGGTAGAATTAAAAGTCACGGAGAAACCAGCGTTCAGCAGCCGGCCCCGCTGTGAGATCCTCAAATCCCACGTGAATGAGTTCTCTCCTTGTTCTGGGCCGAGTGGCAACTTACGTAGCAAACATAAGGAAATGCAGTACGATGGAACACAGCCTCGCCCGCTGTCCTTCAGAATGCGTGTGAGGTCAGAGACGGCGTGTGGTCCAATNGATATGTTTTTATCCCATTTAGTCCTCGTATTATGGTCCCTGTCCTGAAGCGGTTTTGTATAATTCACGCTTTCCCAGAACCATGCAGTGTTCTCCTGCTGAACAGGTTACTGTAGTGGTGACCCCTGACACTTGTTGTCCTCGTATTGCGAAGGTGCATAAATTTACACATGTTTCACCAGTCCGCCAGACGTCACCAGTTTAACACGAGTAAACAGAGGGTTTGCCTTTATGTGTTTCGCCACTGCTAGCCGTCATTAGAGGGCGTAGACATCGCTAGAAAGAAGTCCTCGACTTATGTTAACTGAACACGGTACTAAAATAAGAGCTTCTGGAAAGACCCAGGAAAGACGAACACAGTTTCACCGCGATTTGAAGACCCCTGGTTGTCCTGCTGTTTTGAGCTAAGTTTCTCGTGGGGTAGTCTTCCGTCCAGGCAAATTCCGGGATGGCGCCATATCTAGAACACTTCCCTCATGTCTGTCCCAATTCATTTATCCCCCCGTCCAGCCGCTGTCCGACACTGCGTAGGCTGTACTGCGGGCCGAAATGACGGGGAGTTGGGAGTGTATATATTGTGCTGTACTCTGCTGGCAAGAGTCACAAAGCTGTTAGTGGCAGTTGAATCGCCTGACCGGCGTGGGGCCGCTTGTTCCAACATTCTCCTGCTGAGCGAGCGACCCTTCACAGAGAACAAATTGCTCTGATGGGATTCGACGTCTTTCCTCCCACAAACGTGTTCCAGCTGGGAGCAATATATGTAGTGTAACCCCCCCCCCACATTCGTGATATTATGCTGCGTATTTATACCGATAATATTGTGGCACATCTGCTCAAATCTAGAATTGTGAAGCCAGTAGGGAACGGTTCTTTAATCCCCGTTGCTAGGCGATTGCTCAGTAGCTGTAACATGGTCGCCGCAACAGACACGTAAGCAACAATAGAAGAACTGCTGGAGCCGGTATCTCCTGTGCGGTTCGTGCCGTGGAAATTTCGGGGGTTCGTTCGTCAATGAATGCCGCTACTGAGCAACGGTTATTGAAGACTGATAAGACTTGATGTGTGTTGTAGTTCCAGCGGACTTTGCATTGAGAATGACGTAGTTATGTGCAGTTATTTTCTGTAAGTGTCCAGTAAATTCAGTTACGAGTCCAAATGCTGTCTATAGCCACTCCACCACGTGATAATGTTTTCATGGTAGGGGTGACTTTAAGACGGGGTTTGGATTGGATGATGGATTTATTGGACCTTATAGAGTCACAGAGTTTTGAACTAGAGGCAATCCAGTGTTATTGCTATTCTACACACTTTCCAGTTCACCGTTACACACAAAGTAGAATTCTTAGTCTTCACTAGTCGTATCCTGGCAACGGATGTATCACAGTCTCACTGTAACTTCATCTCACGTATGAAGTCTACTTCCACATTTTAATTCCTTTCTTGCAACTTGCGAAGACTCGACTCGACTACTCTCGGCTACTGATCTATACTGCTTGCTACTCTAGTTCTACCCCTGTCCTGCCGAACACTTCTTATAACGCCTTTGCCCGGACCCCAGGGTAAACTTCGTCTGTTGTCAACAGGTCCGTTACCTAAAATGGATGCCCTATATTGAGCGCTTTTGCTGCGGGAATATGCTTGTCGAGTTGTTGCCAAAAAATGTGTGTACACGTCACAATGTAATGAATTCTATCTTGTGGGATATTATACAATTTCGTATGTTGAAAGTTACGCAACGTTTCGGAAGAACACGTTGCCTTCGTCTTCAGGGTAGAATTAAAAGTCACGGAGAAACCAGCGTTCAGCAGCCGGCCCCGCTGTGAGATCCTCAAATCCCACGTGAATGAGTTCTCTCCTTGTTCTGGGCCGAGTGGCAACTTACGTAGCAAACATAAGGAAATGCAGTACGATGGAACACAGCCTCGCCCGCTGGCCTTCAGAATGCGTGTGAGGTCAGAGACGGCGTGTGGTCCAATTTGAGTGGGGGGAGTGTATGGTCCTATCCTCTCTTATTTGCAGTAGACTCGACACGTGCGTGTATCAGAAGCAAGGGGTTTAGTGGAATTCCCTTTTTAGT